TGCACCCAACAAACCCTAGATCACATCAGCAATGCCCTTAGACCATTAAACTTACACATATCCAGTGAAAAATTGCAAAGCGTCATTTTCAGCCGAAGAAAACCTCCCAACCCTCTACCTCTAACTGTTCACAATTCAATAATCAAAATAGCAGACACCCCAAAATTACTAGGCATCACACTGGACCTTGGCCTCACCTTTCTCCCACACATAAAAATAATTGGAGCTAAAGCCTCAAGACGTATAAACATATTAAAAGCCCTCGCAGGAACCGACTTTGGAGGTGACCGGAGAACACTTGTAAAATTATACTCATCACTTATTAGGCCCATCCTAGAACATGGCTCAATTATATTCGAAAACATAGCAAAAACATTTTAAAAGATAAGACACTATTCAAAACGCCTGCATTAGGATCTTAACTGCACTCTGCAGCATTCAAAACCACCCCAATCGAGGCCTTGGAAATATTCAATAACATTGAACCTTAGAAGAAAGAAGGTCGATAGCTTCCATTAAGTACTTCACCAAAATTCAATCCACCCCTGCACTCCTATCATCAAATTCAAATCCTTCCTCTCCAGGCATAAACAACCTAAACGCACTTCATACGGATCCCGACTCAAGACACTAATGCGAACATTACGATGTAACACTGCCTCCTAAACCAAAAATACTCAAACCGGTGGCGTGGTGGACTTTTCCTCCATCAACGCTCCACCTTCTGCTGGACTAAAAAAAAGACCGACTACTCTCCTCAAGAAGTCCAGGCACTCCATAATTCCTTCCTGGCGCTCTACCCCAACCACAACCTTTTCTACACAGACGGATCAAAAAACACAATCACAAACAAAACAGGCGCCTCCGTACCTGGCAAGATCAAATGACCGCAGAGGATGCCAGGGCAAGGAAGCAGGCCTTCTGCAACATGGCAGATTCCCCTGGTGTTGTTGGGTGCAGTGATGGAACTCATGTGCTAATCACTACCTTTGTAAGGTCATAAATTGGTCATAAATACTTCAAGAGGAAGGGGTTTGCGTCTGTGATTCCGCTCGCGATACGCGACGAGAAGATGCGTTTTATATGGGCCAATATAGGCTGGCCTGCCGCCTGGGACTGTCCATGACAGTAGTGTACCACGAGCTGCAACACATCCTGGAGGAGGATAGGCAGACCGAAGGTGGACACATCCTCGGGGACGCAGCATTTCCCCTGTCGAAGCACCTTACCGGAACCCATAACGGACATGACCATTGGAGTCAACAGCAAACTAAGTATAAAAAGGCACTCATCAACGAGACCCTTACCATTAAATGCCCTTAAACCATTAAACTTACACATATCCAGTGAAAAATTGCAAAGCGTCATTTTCAGCCGTGACTCTCTACCTCTAACTGTTCACAATTCAATAATCAAAATAGCAGACACCCCAAAATTACTAGGCATCACACTGGACCTTGGCCTCACCTTTCTCCCACACATAAAAATAAGAGGATCAAGAGGAGTTTCGGGACACTAATTGCAACATCAGGAGACTTCCGAAACTCGACATGCTGCACATGGACTTGACCAACAATGTCATCATGACGGCTTGCGGGCTTCACAACACGTCAGCTGAAGGAGACCTCTACGAAGACGTCGAGGCCGAGGACCCGGGTGAAATCCAGCATGCTGAGGGAGGAATCAACATGGAAGAGGCAGCTGATGGTGGGTTGGTTTTTTATCAGGGACCAATTAGCTGTGGGGTCCGATCGACCATTAGCTGCTGTTAAATCGCCAATACGGACGAAGAGTGGACCAAAATAAGGGAAGATTAACATTGTACTAACTGTCGCGATTCTCCCTCCCCGCCTCAGTTCAGCGGGCCGCGTCACCCCATGTGCCGTTAGTACCCCTGCCCTGTCTGACCTGAGCGGGCCGCCGCGGTCGTCCCGTAGTGCGCATGGAAAGTTACCGGGTGTGGCGCTGTCTAACTGATCGTGATTGGCTGTTTGCGACCAATGGTTTGGGCTGTTTGTCGATTTTTATTTGGCAGCAATGCTGAGCCCGGTACTAATGACCATTTCGAATACAGTTCGCTATCAGAGATCCACCTGTTTGTTCCGCCGACCGACCGAACCAGCATTCGTGACCACCATTAATCACACTAACTACACCAATATGCTGGAAAGCGAGCTATTGATTCGCTTTGGATACGCGATGAGCAGTTTTGGGATGTGACGTGAAAATCCTGGGAAATTGTAGCTGAAATATTGTGATGGAGCAAATGAATAAGTGGATGGCATCTTTGTCTCACAAGGCTATAATCATAGCGAGACGCGTCAAGAAGTGTCGAAAAGACATGCAATACACCGTTGGTAAGGATTATGTCGCTGCCGACCGCCTTAGAAGTGCTGTGAAGCGGAGTCAGAGGGCACCCACACCGCACCCACACCGCGCCACCTACTCCGTAGGTCCCGGGGTTCGTCCCGTGTTCGCTCTGTTCTCGGCACGCGCTCAGGTCCCCGGAACACGCAGTGACACGGCAGACACTCAGTACTCTTACACAGGAGACGCCAGGCGCCCCACCGCCTGCCGCTCCCATTTTCTTTGGTCCGCTCTATGTTATGCACTACTTTGACTCGCACGAAACAACCAAGACGCGTCGGCGACGCCTTACACGCGCGCATATTGCAGAGTCCCGTATGGACATTGGACAGGCACTGGCGTCGCAGCGCCACCAAGCGTCGCTGTCACGAACTAATGCCGCGCGCTTCCGCCGCCAGTGGCGCTGGCGGCGGTGCGGCAGCCATTAGCTCTGCGCTACGCGACGAAGCGCCGATGACGACGGCGCGGTGTGCGCGATGACTGGGCAGCAGCAGCACCACGTAACTGACGCCCGACAGGTCGGTGGCCAGGAAACCGCCACGCGCCGGCTCACTGAAACCTGGCGGGGAGAGGGGGAGAGAGTTAAACGGTCAGACAGAAACTTCATCTTCATCTTCGTGTTATCGGGGCAAGAGGCACGATGTCCTGTAGGGCCCGTTCTCGCCGATTTCCATAACTTCACTTAGTACTCAGTCTGTTACAGGAGTAGGGTACCAGATCGACTCCCAGTGCGCATCCAGCCTGTTCTTAAAGACGTTGACTGAGGGCGAATGTACAATTTCTGCTGGAAGCCCGTTCCAATCGTTAATACACCGTACTGCAGAAAATTAATTCAGTTCTTGTAGATGGCGCCCGTCCTATCCTATCCTTTCCTGCAGCTCGTCCTTCTTCCGACCCGTTTCACATATCCTTCGTGCTCGTTTCCCGATAAAACCGGCGGCTCTAGGAGCCGAAGTGCGCGTTGGAGCGGCGGGCCGCTGAACGCTTGTGCGTAGGGATATAGTGCGCGTGTTTTCATTAATTAGCTGGCGTTGTTAATTAATTACTTTTGAAATGTCATTGGAATAGTTGTACTATCTTGTAGGGCACCGATTGTGCTGGTTGTAAGCGGATATTGTGTTTTCCGGAAATTCGAATGCCGCGCTGGCAGTCACGTGACCGGTTCTGATCTCGAGTCCGACTGCACGGAAGGCGGTCTTTTCGTTCCCCGCCATGATTGGAGGCGGATGTGTTGCGGGTGCTCCGGATTTTGGTACCGGTGAGTGAGGTTCTAGAGGTTTGTAACTGCTGAATTTAATATTGTAACTTCTCAATTGAATTTATGTGATGAATATTCGTTTTGTTGTATAACTTTAATGTGAAAACCGGTTTATATGAGCTGATATGTTCGATTCTCCGGGACAGTGGCTCGGTTGCCCCCGATTCGGGGAGGACAAGCTGTGGAGCTTGTTTGTGGAGGCTGCCCTGGTGGCCTCGTGAGTTCGGTCGCCGTGGTCGTTTGGCAGCGCGCCAGAGACGGGATAAGCCGGTATGTTATCACTAAAAATGCTCATTGTCTATCTTTGCTTTGAATTTCGATACCTCAACGTCTGCTGTGTATTGCTTGATTTATTTACTTACTTGTAGAATGTTAAACAGAGTTCTTGGACCCCGAGCTGCGTTGTGACCCATAGTTGCATCATGCCAACTGGTATTTGACTCGAGCTCGTATTGTGTGAATGTGTTTGCAGTAACGAATCGAATGATCGAAGACGGGATCCAGAGCGGTCCAATACAGATCTGTCCACGGCCAAGTCTCTGAGGTGGCCAGGTGACCGAGGGGTGGCAGGGAGCAGATGCGGGCGATGGTGGCGCGAGCAGTGGCCGGGGGCCATCTGCGTCTACAGTTACGGCTTCCTTCTCTGCGCCTTCATCTGCTGGTGAAGCCCAGTAGCGGCTTCCCTCTCTGCGCCTTCGGCTGCGTCTGGAGCTACAGTTGCTGCTTAGTCTCCGCGCCTTCATCTGCCTCTGGAGCTGCAGCACCGGCTGCGTGCTGCGCCTTCCAGGATTCTGCCTGAGTGGTGTGCGGCTGGCTGGCGCGGAGTGGTGTGCGGCTGGCTGGCGCGGAGTGGTGTGCGGCTGGCTGGCGCGGAGTGGTGCGCGGCTGGCTGGCACAGAGTGGTGCGCGGCTGGCTGGCACGACGTGGTGTGCGCCAGCGAGAGGCGCTGAGTGGTGTGCGCCGGCGAGAGGCGCTGAGTGGTGTGCGCCGGCGAGAGGCGCTGAGTGGTGTGCGCCGGCGAGAGGCGCTGAGTGGTGTGCGCCGGCGAGAGGCGCTGAGTGGTGTGCGCCGGCGAGAGGCGCTGAGTGGTGTGCGCCGGCGAGAGGCGCTGAGTGGTGTTTGCTCCTGGACGGGCTGAGAGGGTGCTCCCAGCGGGTGAGTGCCCCTCTGGCGGAGACATCTTTCGCGGAGCTGCACCTTCAGCTCTGCATCTGCTTCAGCTTGAGTAGCAGCGACTGCCTCTCCTCGCTGCCTGGTGCCGGCATCCTGGTTCGGCCGGAGCTGGGAGCTGGAGGATCTGGCCGTCTGAGGTTTGCTGCTACCTGCTGCTTCTGCTGGACTGAGTTGACTGGTAAGGGTGATCCTGTGGTGGTCCTGCGCTGGTTTTAGACTGTGTTATGTGGTGTGTTTTTATATTGCTGGGAAGTGTCTAGGTTAAGGTGTTTAGATTAAGTGATTGCTGAGGAATGCAGTATCCTCTCAGTGCTGGGAAGTGTTTTTAAGTGTCTAGATAGTAGATAAGTGAGGGTGGAAGGTCTGTGGTATCCCCGCTGTGCAGATTCCTATTCCCTCACCCTGAAATGGCGCCTACTAAGGAGGAGTTGGGAAGGTTGAAGCTGACAGAGCTGCAACGGGAGTTAGAGACCCGTGGGCTAGAGGTAACCGGTAAGAAGCAGGACTTAGTGGATAGGTTGTGGTCGGCCCTCGAGACTGAGATGGACCAGTTAAACCCGGCAGAGAATAAGGTGAGTCCCCGAGAAGCTACTGGAGGGCCATCGACAGATGTATCGATTATTTTGGCGAAACTTAAGATCCTCAAGGAGGAACAGGCCGTAGAGCAGGAGCGGATGGCGGTGAGGGCACGCGAATCGCTTCTGCAGGCCAGGTCGGAGCAACTTAAACTTGAACGCGAGTTGGTAGAGGCAGGGCACCTAGTGGAGCCTGAGTTGGCCCAGGTGCAGGTTCCGATCGAGCAGCCGGTGGGTAAGCCCTCACTGGGGGAGGCCCTCAGTGCCCAGGTCAAGCGGTCCCTGTTGCCCCCCGCAGAGCTCCGCCCGTTCAGCGGCGAAATAAGAGACTATCGTTTATTTACTAGATCGTTCCAGGCCCGTATTGAAACAAAGACTGAGGACCCAGATGAGCTTCTTTTTTATCTCGATCAATATACGAAGGGAAAGCCCAACCAGCTCGTGCGAGGGTGTCTCCACCTGGGGGAGGCTGGTTTTGCAGAGGCAAAGCGGCTCCTGGAGGTTCGCTACGGCAACAGTGTGGGGCTGGTCGACTCCTATGTCGAACAGGTGAGAGGCTGGCCTAAGGTGGCCGCTGGCGATGTTGAGAGTCTGGACCAGCTCCTTCTGTTCCTGACCGAGATCATGAACGCGATGGAGAGTGTGGAACTGAGTGAATTTGACCATCCAACGAACTTGCGCCTTGTCATGTCGAAGCTGCCCTCGTACCTCCAGGATCGGTGGATGAGAGAGGCAGATAGACTCCTTCAGGAGGGCTCGACCGTGCGCCTGTCGAACCTGGTCGGGTTTCTGTCCGCTGAGGTCCGTGTAAAGCGGAATCCTCTGTTCGGTCCTCGTAGTGCCGAACCCGCGCGCCGTGAGGCTGTGTCCAGGTCCTCTCCCGGGTTTAAGGTGAGCGCAGCTCGGGTCACACGACCGGGCGCGGGGTCAGGGCTGTGTCCTTTTTGTGACGGTCGCCATGAGCTGGACAGGTGCCAGCGGATGTTTGAGAGGCCCTGGCCTGAGAGGCGTCGGACGGTGTTACGAGCGGGACTTTGTTTCGGGTGCCTCAGGGAGGGTCACCGTGCCCGCTCTTGCAGGAGTCAGCTGACTTGCCGCTCTTGCGGTGGGCGTCACCCGTCGGTGATGCACCGGGACCCCGACTGTGACGCTCGTGGTGTTCCAGCTGCCCCTCCGGTTTCCGCCCGGCCGCCAGTGGCGCGGCGTGGTGCCGGCGGCCGGGAGTTGCGGCCCGAGGCAGCGGTGGTGCAGCCGCGCGGAGATTGTGTGGCGCCCCCTCGTGGTGGATTTGTGGCGCCACCTCCCGGCGGTGAGGGGTCGGGTTCCCACAGCGGAGCCGTGATCAGTGCGAGCCTTGGACTCCAAGGTGTCGATCGGACGGCGCTGCCGGTCGTGGCTGTGCGCCTCCGTGGTCCAGACGGCAAAGTGGTCGTCACTAACGGATTTTTGGACCAGGGCTCCTCGGGATCTTTCCTAACTGACGGACTTGTTTCCCTGTTGGGACTCCAGACCGAGGCGACGAGTGTTGTGCTCGAGACGGTGGGGAGCGGGAAGAGGCGGATTCAGACGTGCCTCGCGTCGGGCGTGCAGGTGGCCGATGCGAGAGGGGGAGCTTTCCATGCTCTGCCGCCTCTGATGACCGTTCCGTCTCTGCCGGTGACGCAGGAGGACAGGTGTCCGAGGAGTGAGCTGAGGGCAGCCGCTCATCTCGCCGATGTCGCGCTGACAGAGGTGGACACGCCTGTGGGGATCCTGATTGGGTCGAACTGTGCCGAACTGCTTCTTGCCAGGGAGGTCCGGGCTCCGCCTGAGGGCCAGGCGGGGTTGTGTGCCATCCGTACCGTGTTGGGGTGGTATGTGATCGGACGTGTCCCTGGGACAGCAGTCCCGAGGGGCAGGCTGACTGTCAACTTCCTGAGGGTCGAGAGGGCGACCGATTCTGATGATGGGGTTACCCAGAGTGTCCGTGATCACTGCTCGGAAGGCTGTCAGTTTCGAGCCATGTACGAGCGTGACTTTGGTGACCTGTCTGATGACCGTGAGTGTTTTTCCCTTGAGGAGCGTGAGTGGATAGCCGACGTCGAGTCAGGCGTCCGGCGGGACTCGGAGGGTCATTTTGAGATCCCCCTTCCCAAAACCGATTTTGGAGAGCTGCCAGACAGCTTCGGGACGGCGGCCAGACGATTGAACTCGCTCCGGAAGCGGTTCCGATCTGACCCAGAGTATTTTGACCAGTACCGGCGTGTTATCAGTTCGCTGGTCGATGACGGGTACGCCGTTCCAGTCTCTGACGATGACGTCACAGGTCCCGTATGGTACCTCCCCCACCATGGCGTGTGGGAGCCTGGTAAGGGCAAGCTGCGCGTGGTGTTCGACTGCGCGGCTAAGAGTGGCGGTACCTGTCTCAATGATCTGCTGAGGAAGGGACCTGTTCTCACGAACTCCCTGCTGGGGGTGCTCTGTCGATTTCGTGAGGGGCGGGTCGCCTTTGCGTGCGACATTCAGAGCATGTACCACAGGGTGCATGTACCAGAGTCGGACACGAGCATGTTGAGGTTCCTGTGGTTCCGTGACAGCGATCCGGACGGAGATGTGAAACTCTGGCGAATGAGGTCTCATGTGTTTGGAGCTGTGTCGAGTGGGAGTGTCGCCAGTTTCGCACTGGGCCGGTGCGCTGAGGAGGGTAGATCGAGCTATCCGGAGGCCGCTGATGCTCTGATTCGCAACACATATGTGGATGACGCACTGTGTGCTGTGGACTCCGTCGAGGATGCTGTGCATCTGGCACGGGATCTGAAGGCGCTGTGCGCCACGGGAGCGTTCAATATGACTAAATTCACCAGCAGCAGCCCGCAGTTCCTGAAGTGTGTACCCATGGAAGACAGAGGTAAGAGAGTCAAACAGCTGGACCTCGACAAGGACCGACTCTGCGCCGAGAGTGCGTTGGGTCTGAGATGGTCGGTCGATGATGACACCTTCGGGTTTCAGTTCCGAGGTGAGGAGAAGCCCTGGTCCAGACGTGGTGTATTGTCCACTGTCAGCTCTGTTTTTGACCCCTTAGGTGTGGTCTCCCCCGTCACAGTGACGGGACGCGTGTTGGTCCAGAAGCTGTGCGCTCTCTCTTGTGGCTGGGATGACCTTCTTCCTGCCGTACTGGCGGAAGAGTGGCGAGAGTGGCTGGACAGGGCTAGAGAGCTCGATCTGGTCCGGCTAGATCGATCTATCGTGGGCCCGCCCGGGGAGGTTCTGACCACCCAGCTGCACGTGTTCGCTGACGCCAGTGAAAGTGCGCACTCGGCTGTTGCGTATCTCAGGCGGGAGGTGCGCTCATCTGAAGGTAAAACGGAGCGGTTTGTGGCGTTTCTGATGGGGAAGTCGCTGGTGAACCCTATCAGGTTTGTGTCAGTTCCGCGCTTGGAGTTGGCCGCCGCTGTGTTGGCGGTGAGAGTGAGGAAAGTACTGCAGAGGGAGTTGGGCACCCGATTTGACACTGTTCATATGTGGACTGACAGCATGATAGTCCTGAGTTGTATCCGGAATCGCACGACGCGGTTCAAAACTTTCGTGGCTAACAGGCTCGCTTACATTCATGATGGCTCAGAGGTAAGCGAGTGGTCATACGTGCCGACGGACGCGAACCCAGCGGATGTGGGTTCTCGGGGCTGTGCGCCGACCGACTTGGGACCCTGGTTGAGCGGGCCTGAGTTTCTCGCGGGGGACGTCGACTGCTGGCCGGTGGAGCCTGCTGTTCCGTCCGCCCTGCCGGCGAGTGAGGTGAAGTCGGTGCCGGTCGCCCTGACAGCGGTCGGAGCTGATTCGGCTCAGCCGTGTGACGTGCTGATTCAGCATTTTTCTTCCTACTTTAGACTTAAGCGAGCGGTGGCTTGGTACCGTCGGTTCATCGATGTTCTTCGGAGCGGCGAGTTCCGTAGATGGTGCTTGGCGAGACGGCGAGGGCTGCGGCGCCGGGAAATGTCCGTCCGGACTTCTCTGACGGTGTCAGACCTACGCGGCGCCGAGCTGGCGATCTTGCGCCGAGTCCAGCGAGATCTGCCAGAGTACCCGAGCGGTGTGTGTGACGATGGTCCAGTCAGCGTCAGGCGGAACAGTCCGCTGGCGAAGCTACGCCCTATACTGAGTGATGGTCTGCTGCTGGTGGGCGGTAGGCTAGAGCGGTCCGACTGTATCTCCGTGAGTGCCAAGCACCCGGTGATCCTGCCCAGGCGGCATCATGTGACTAGGTTAGTGATAAGGGAGGCTCACGCTGAGGTGGGTCACGAGGGCAGACTCCATACGTTCTGGAGGCTGCGTGAGAGGTTTTGGGTTCTGGGTGCCGGACCGGAGGTCCGGAGGCTGATCCGAAACTGTGTCGTGTGTCGGAAAGTCAATGCCCGTCCACAGCGGCAGCTGATGGCCGACCTGCCGGAGGAGCGCGTGTCCGGTGACACGCCAGCGTTCTCTTCCGTCTTGTTAGATGTATTTGGTCCGATTTTAGTTAAGGCTGGACGGGGGGAGAAGAAAAGGTACGGTCTGATGTGTATCTGTGTTGTCACGCGCGGTGTTCATATAGAAGTGTTAGATTCTCTCCGCACCGATTCCCTCATCAACGCCGTCCGACGTATCAGTGCCCGCCGGGGACAGATCCGTCAGGTGCGGAGTGATATGGGCACCAACATGACTGGCGCTGATCGAGAGCTCCGAGAAGCGCTGAGGGACGTAAGCAGCCGTGATCTCCAGCGTGCTGCTCTTCAGAGGGGTATCGACTGGAGGTTCAACCCTCCAACTGCCTCTCACTTTTCCGGTGGAGTGGAGAGGCAAATCAGGACGTTCAGAAAGATTTGGAGGTCCATGCCGACGCAGCAGCGGGTGGACGATGAGTCGTTGCAGACCCTCTTCTGTGAGATAGAGTCCATTATGAATGACCGCCCTCTGACTTACGTGTCTACCGCTGATGGCGATGTTGAACCCCTGACTCCGGGACACTTGCTGTTCCTGAGGGGCCGTCCTGGGCCGATTCCAGGCGAGTTTCGAGAGGCCGACTCGTTCTCCCGACGCCGTTGGCGTCATGTCCAGTACTTGGCGCAGCAATTTTGGACTCGCTGGAGGAGCGAGTACCTGCTCTCACTGCAGTCTCGGCAGAGGTGGACGCAGGAGTCTCGCAACCTGGAGCCTGGGGATGTAGTCTTGCTAGTAGACGAGAATGTGCAGCGAGGCCAGTGGCAGATGGGGAAGGTACAGGAGGTTCTTCCCAGCCGGGATGGCAAGGTGAGAAAGGCTCTCGTAAAGACTAGCTCCTCTGTGTATCTGCGCCCAATACACAAGATGGTAGTGGTGAGGTCCGACTCCGATCTAGAGTAAGTTAGACGTAAGGTGCCGTCTAGAAATAGGCTGCCGTCAGCCACAGGGCTGATCAGGCTCGGTAAGGTAGGATAGGTAGAGTGTGAGCGGGACGCTCATCGGTTCAGTGTTGTGTGGTGATATATATATAAATATTTTTTTTTTCGTGGACGGATCTTCAGGTTTGTAGAGGTTGTCAGTTTGACGGGCGCTCCTGTGCTTCGAATGCCTCAGTCATTCGAAGGGGGGAGTGTAGATGGCGCCCGTCCTATCCTATCCTTTCCTGCAGCTCGTCCTTCTTCCGACCCGTTTCACATATCCTTCGTGCTCGTTTCCCGATAAAACCGGCGGCTCTAGGAGCCGAAGTGCGCGTTGGAGCGGCGGGCCGCTGAACGCTTGTGCGTAGGGATATAGTGCGCGTGTTTTCATTAATTAGCTGGCGTTGTTAATTAATTACTTTTGAAATGTCATTGGAATAGTTGTACTATCTTGTAGGGCACCGATTGTGCTGGTTGTAAGCGGATATTGTGTTTTCCGGAAATTCGAATGCCGCGCTGGCAGTCACGTGACCGGTTCTGATCTCGAGTCCGACTGCACGGAAGGCGGTCTTTTCGTTCCCCGCCATGATTGGAGGCGGATGTGTTGCGGGTGCTCCGGATTTTGGTACCGGTGAGTGAGGTTCTAGAGGTTTGTAACTGCTGAATTTAATATTGTAACTTCTCAATTGAATTTATGTGATGAATATTCGTTTTGTTGTATAACTTTAATGTGAAAACCGGTTTATATGAGCTGATATGTTCGATTCTCCGGGACAGTGGCTCGGTTGCCCCCGATTCGGGGAGGACAAGCTGTGGAGCTTGTTTGTGGAGGCTGCCCTGGTGGCCTCGTGAGTTCGGTCGCCGTGGTCGTTTGGCAGCGCGCCAGAGACGGGATAAGCCGGTATGTTATCACTAAAAATGCTCATTGTCTATCTTTGCTTTGAATTTCGATACCTCAACGTCTGCTGTGTATTGCTTGATTTATTTACTTACTTGTAGAATGTTAAACAGAGTTCTTGGACCCCGAGCTGCGTTGTGACCCATAGTTGCATCATGCCAACTGGTATTTGACTCGAGCTCGTATTGTGTGAATGTGTTTGCAGTAACGAATCGAATGATCGAAGACGGGATCCAGAGCGGTCCAATACAGATCTGTCCACGGCCAAGTCTCTGAGGTGGCCAGGTGACCGAGGGGTGGCAGGGAGCAGATGCGGGCGATGGTGGCGCGAGCAGTGGCCGGGGGCCATCTGCGTCTACAGTTCTATTAACTTTGCATCTCGACTAGGGCGAGCGGCGAAAACAACCGCGATCCTGAGTGGGTCCCGAAAGGCTAAACGCTGGACGGGATTAACCCGCGAGGAGCATAAAACGCCGGGACCAGAAAGCGGCCTCATTTCCAGCACTGCTGCCCACCCGTCTCATCTGCTTCATCACGCACACCGCGCCGTCGTCGTCATCGGCGCTCCGTCACGTCGCGCAGAGTTTCTAACGGCTGCCGCACCGCCGCCAGCGCCTCCGGCGGCGGAAGCGCGCGGCTGTAGTTCGTGACGGCGGCGTGCTCCGGTCATGGGGCGAACCCCGGGCCCCCTGGGCTACAGAGTGGGTGGCGGAGTTCTATAGCCTTGGGTGGCGCGGTGGAGTCTGCCCGCTGCTAACATCTACCGGCGCGGCGGGCAGGATCAAATGTCGCGTGTAGTCGCCAGGGCGATTGGAGTCGGTCGGCCTGGACCTCCAGTTTGGATGCCCGTTCGAGTCCACATGGACAGCGTGCGGATACCTCAGTGCCTGTCTGCACCTGTGTCTTGGAGAGATCGTGTGTGCCCTGCGGCGTCAGAGGAGGCCCCCTCGTGCTCACGGGGTGGGACAGTTGCGACCCGCGGGGCGGGGCGGGGCGGGGCGGCTGCTGCTGGCCCCGTACCCTGTTCTGTTGAGTTCCTGGCGCGGCTGGCGACGCTGCGTGATCTCACGGCCGGCTCTGTCGCCGCTGACCCAGTATTAAGTTGCTAGGGAGCGTGTGCTGCTCGCGCCTGTTGGCCGGCTGTGTCCGGTGCTATGAGAAATACAATATATGTAACTAATAAAACTATGTTACAGTTCCTTTCTTTTGATTGAAGCCAGATGTACCGAGGTGCTAGAGGCACACAAAACGAGCTGTTTCGCGGCCGCACGCAGCTCCTGATTTACCTACGACAAAAATTAACAAACAAAATCAAACGTCATCGCTTGAATGCATTTGTAGTTTAGAAGACATACAAAGGATTTCAAATTGATAACAGAATTGTGCCGTAAAATACCATTGCTAACGCGCGGCTAAAACACGTTCTCTACCGGTAAATGTCGGAAAAGTTGAAGTCTGGCGAAAAGTGCCTCCAAGAACTAGGCTCTGGAAACGCCTCTGCGCATGTAAGAAACTCCCGCTGCCCTCCCCGTTCCGCCACCTATTCCGCGGGAATTGATACCCCCGCCCCCTCCCCTGAATCTGAATGTGCACTCAATGTCATCGATATTCGCAGTGCGCATGCGCGCAGCGAATGTGAATGTGCATTCAAGGTCATCGATATTCTGAATGTCGATGAAACTGATCGATATTCGGAACGCGAATGTGAATGTGCATTCAAGGTCATTGATATTCGCAGTGCGCATGCGCGCCGCGAATGTGAATGTCGATGAAACTGATCGATATTCGGAACGAATGTGAATGTGCATTCAATGTCATCGATATTCGCAGTGCGCATGCGCGCCGCGAATATCGATGAAAATGATCGATATTCGGGACGAATCTGAATATCGATGAAAATGATCGATATTCGGGACGAATCTGAATATCGATGAAAATGATCGATATTCGGAACGAATCTGAATTTGAATCTGAATGTGAATATGATGCAACTATACGCGCATCTATACCTGAGACGCTCAATGGAAATTTTGAATGACCGTGCACTGTGCAGTTGTTGCTGGGTGGGTGCTGCTGTGCCACGTGGTCGCCGAGAGGTGTGTTGTAGTGATGTCAATTTCAGAAATTTTGGAAACCAATGCCAAACCGATACCGACCAAAACCACTGAGAGTATACCAAAACCGAACCGATTTTCAGAAATAGGGTGAAATACCGACTAGGTACCGAATTCAGGGAATCATCAAACAAATGCTTCAAACTTTCTCAAAACAAATGATAAGCATTAAAAGGTAATACTTTAAAATAAGGCAACAAAAACAAGTCAGGAAATCTCTAAATTATTTGCACTGCAAAAACATATAACTGTATTGTGTAACTTTTAACAAATATTCAGGTCAGTTACTTAACTGGGATGTGGATTCAAGTCATCTGGATGAGGTGATAGGACAAGAACTTGAACCCTGAATCTCATCCATGCCTGAACCCAAGTCAATTCAATTCGAGTCCAGTCAAGACAGGGTTACGTATAATACCAGTAAAACGCCCTTTGGGCGAAGAACGAGCGAGCGAGATAGTGAGCCCTGCACGTGCGGAAGGGCGAGAGGGTGCTTCCAACGGGCTTGCGCAAAGCACCCTTCTAACTGGTCGCTAGCGGTGTGCCAAATTTGAACGCAATCGGCCCAGCCGTTCCTGAGATCTGGAAGCGGCATTCTGCACGTGCGCACGTGCAAACGGGGTCCAAAATGACTTTTGCACGGCACCCTACTAACTGGTCCCCAACCGTGTACCAAATTTGAGCGCAATCGGCCCAGTCGTTCTCGAGATCTGGAAACGCCCCCTGCACGAGCGCACGTGCAGTAGCACCCTAACCGCAACACATGGGAATGCATTGCCTGGTGGGTGCCTACCTGTATGCCAAGTTTCAGCGAAATCGCCCCAGTAATTACCGAGTTACTGAAATGGGAACAAATTTGGCACCTCTTATTGTTGTATTTTGCACGTGCACTGGGGGTGACCCGCATGCATCGAGAGTATCCTATTTTGGGTAGAAGGGATGCTGCTACCTCACAAAAATTACCGCAAGTCAATCGCCCAAGCGGCTGCTGAGATATGAGCCTCTCAAAATCACTACTTTTGCAAAACAGCTTGAACACCCTTGACTTCTCACGTGGCACGTGCCACGATGGTCACTGAGATGTATCAAAAGTAGTCAATTACGGGGTAGAAGGGATGGGGCTACCCAACAAAAAAGACCGCAGACCAATCGGTCCAGCGGTTGCTGAGATATAAGCCTCTCAAAAGCGTTACAGGCCGGGCCGGGCCGGGCCGGGCCGCTCATACTGAGATTTTTCCGTTATATTGAAAAGACTCACTTCGCTCGCTGCGCTCGCTCGCTCGTAATCATGATCCAAAAATGGTAACCAAATGACAATAATGGGCTGGGCTATACCATTAACATTAATGTAAACAAAATCCATGATACCTACAGTTCAACTCAAGAAGCGATGGTGACGAGAGTGACGCAGCCAATTTTTCATCATAAATAAATGTTAAACACAACAAATCTTAATAAATAATTACTTACGAGTCACACTGATAGATAGCAGACACCACTGTAATGATATCGCGATGAAAGCTAAGTAAAATGTCCATAATTTTACGGAATCATTGACACGTGTCACGTGGCATCACTTCCACAATGGCAGCCTTGCAGGCGGCGGCCATTTGCATTTAGGCACGAAACGCACGGAACTGCATAAAATAAAGTTTTTTTTTCTTTTTTGCTTATGTACACTTAATTAAAAAATATGATGTTCATATTTTGGTATCTTTAAATTAATTCAAGAAAAATTGTACGCCGCTATCGCTAAAAATGAAGAACAGGAAAAACAATGTTGCTCAATTATTTTAAATTTTCAGCTACATCGGGTTTTGGCGCAGCTGCGACATTTAAAAGTTCTTAGATGTGTTCAGTTTTAAACTGCTATTTGCGAATCAAGCCAAGACCCAATCATATTTTAGGAATGCTTTTGATTACATTGCTAGCGATTTCTATCTGTTGAGGAGAGCAGGAAAGAGAACACTAAGTAAAGAAAATAATTATCCACAGGATATTTTTGAAGTTGAACGAAGTTGAGAATTTGTGGGGTGATGATGAAGTGATAAATGCTGCCTTCAATATTAGATGATATTGGTGAAGCTAGTGCTATAAAAAACAGGGTTTTGACTTTTGGATAATGTAACCGCATTGCAGTGAAATGGAGAGCAAGACAAGGTCAAGATCAATCACAGACTTCTCAAAACAAAGTCAAATTTGCTACCGATGAATGCTTTGGAAATTTTGAGTAAGGTAGAGTATGTTTTCCAGTAAACAGTGAGTTAAACATTGATACATGTTTAATGTAATGTATGTAATATTTAATGTACATGTATTGCACATTATCTTTTTTGTAAGATAATTATCCTGATGGTATTGGAATTTGCTGGCACTGATAAGTTGCCATTTAACATTGGTAGACTGATGTGTTTGATGTTGCAGTTAACATCTTTGCCCATTTGTTATGACATCATGCATTTGGGAGAAATTTACATATATAAAAATCAAAATGTCTGTACGTATGTATGTATGTATGTATGTAACGCGTCAGTCACGCTTGGCGGGCTATTGCTCCGGAACGGTGCGGGCTACGGGGGTGAAATTTTGGACAGAAGTCGGACGCGTGCATCTGTTTGTCGTATTAAATTTTGGTGGGGGTGCGCTCGCCGGTTTGCACGTGGCGGGCGCATCTTTGCGGGATTTTGGGCCGCGGCCGGTTTCGAGCAGACGGCACGCGCCGTAGGCTCAGATTGTTCGCTGCGAAAACTGAGCAAAATCAGAGCCGGAAGGTCACTGACCTTTGCCAATGAATACCGGAACAGGGCACCGCCGGCCAAGAGGAGTCACCAAATTTATTCTTGCAATTACTCGGCCGCTACTGGGCCGATTTTAATCAAAATTGATTTATTACGCTGCGCGTAATGCTCGGCACCTAGTTTACATATATAAAAATCAAAATGTCTGTATGTATGAAACGCGTCAGTCACGCTTGGCGGGTTATTGCTGTGGAACGGTGCGGGCTACGGGGGTGAAATTTTCGCGCCGAGTCGGACGCGTGCATCTGTTTGTCGTGTTAAATTTTCGAGGGGGTGGGTTCGGGGGTGAGCACGTGCTGGGCGCATCTTTGCGGGATTTTGGGCCGCGACCGTCGCCGATCAGAGAGCACGCGCATTAGCCTCAGTTTCTTCGCTTGCAAAACTGAGCGAAATCAGAGCCGGAAGGTCACTGACCTTTGGCAATGAATACCGGAACAGAGCACCGCCGGCCAGGAGGAGACGCTAAATTTATTCTGGCCATAACTCGGCCGCTACTGGGCCGATTGCAATGAAACTTGATTTATTACGCTGCACGTAATGCTGGATTTACATATATAAAAATCAAAACGTCTGTACGCATGTATGTATGTATGTAACGCGTCAGTCACGCTTTAAGGGCTATTGCTGTGGAACGGTGCGGGCTACGGGGGTGAAATTTTGGACTTAAGTCGGACGCGTGCATCTGTTTGTTGTATTAAATTTTGGAGGGGGTGCGTGCAGCGGTGTGCACGTGGCGGGCGCATCTTTGCAGCATTTTGGGCCGCGGCCGGCGCCGAGCAGTGAGCACGTGCCTTACTGCCTTAGGCTCAGTTTCTTCGCTTGCAAAACTGGGTGAAATCATAGCCGGCAGGTCACTGACCTTTGACAATGAATACCGGATCAGAGCACCGCCGGCCAGGAGGAGACGCCAAATTTATTGTGGCAACAACTCGGAGGCTACTGGGCCGATTTTAATGAAAATTGATTCAATACGCTGCGCGTAATGCTGGACACCTAGTGTGTCACGATTGTCCTTATTCTTCATCCAATGTCATTTAGCAAATCAAATGTAAGTTCAGAAGGTTTATAAAAAAAGTGTTTTAACTTTTTATGACAGTATAGTTGACTTTTATAATACCGACAAAATACCAAATGCTTTTGGTATAAAATACCGAATACCGAATCGGTATCGGTTCGGTATTGGTATACCGAAATTTTGGTAACCGATTGACACCACTAGTGTGTTGCGAGTTTTGTTTTTGGCGTTTCTGATGTGCTCGTAAAAACGATCCCGGACACGTCGCTTGGACTCACTCACCTATGTAAACTGCTGGATTGTCGGTGCACATGTTACACTCAATTTTGTATACCGCGTTCTTTGTGTGACGACTCTCGAGTCCCGCTTTGCAGGTGGAACAGCGCCTTTGACCAGCCGGGCAGGGAGGGCACTGTAGAGCTCATTTGGTCAAGTAATGGCTCAGTGTCTTTCCACTGACCCAAGCAACGCGGGCCTGTAAGCCTGAGGACTTGAACACCCCCTCTACCCGGCGGGCCAAAGTGTCATCAATGTAGGGCAGTGATACGTATGTCGTGTCATGCTTGTTTTTTATGTCTTTGTTCTCTTTCCTAGCTGATGTCCTAGTGTTGTGGCCGCTGGTGTCACTAATGACTCTGTGTCTGGTTCTCTGTATGAGTCGATGTGGGTATCCATTGTGCTTGAACAAAGTTTCGATGATGTGCATGCCGCGGTTCTGTGTTTCTCTGTTTGACCCTAACCGTTTGGCTCTGAGCAAGGCCCCAAATACCTAAGCGCTCAGTGCAAGCACCGAGCGCTTGCACTGAACGGGATGTGCTGAGTTGAAGTGGATGATTATGGGTGCTGCCATGGGTCTAATATAATGCTCTGTGCTGTATGTGCCTTAGTTCTGGACAGTGATGAGTGTGTTGGGCAGGAGTCTCGTCTGATTTCTCGATGGTAAACTTTAGCGCTGGGTGAAAGTTGTTGAGAAAATGGAAGTACTCATCGTTTTTTTTTTCTGGTCCGTGTGTCCAGACCCCCAGCACGTCGTCGATGTAGCGCATGTATATAACAGGCTGGTACTGCGCGGCGGGTGCGGTCAAAAGCAGTTCAATGGCGTCCATGGATACAATAGCCAGGGGTGGGCCCAAGGGTCGGCCTACCCTTGATCCCATTGCCACTCCCACGGCTTGTTAAAAGTACAGCCCACCGGTAAAGTAATGTAGGGTTTTACCCAAGGCTATAGAACTCCGTTTTACCAATCTCAACGGTTGGCTTTGACTGGCGATTGTTAAATTCGGAGTGATCGAAAAGAAGATGTCAATAGCTAAAGTTGCAGCTGCAAGGGTGACGATACATATAAGCTACATTCAAAGTTTCATTGTAGTCTGGTTAATCGTTCCTAAGCTTCAGAAGCAGAACATACCCATGACTGAAACCGCACATTACTTCTGCTGTGGACTGTACTTCTCACCGAATCGAACATAGTTGTTGTTTAGGCAGTGGGATAGAAGTGTCTCTATATCTTGAAGACTAAGTCCGAATGTATTTATCTGATCTTTGTGTCTTTCAAGGAGTTTGATGGTGGCCTTAATGGCTTCACCAGTGGGGATATTCCCATACAGATTTGCCACATCCACGGAAAATACTATTGCTCCTGCTGGGAGTCTGTTAGGGAACTGTGTTTTTAGTCGCTTTAGGTAGTCCTGTGTATCCGTGAGATGCGCAGGAACAAACATTAACAGCTGAGTGATCAGTGATAATCCTTTCGAGTAGCCATGTCAGCTTATCAAGTGGGTCCCCACAGGCAGAAACTATGGGCCGGAGCGGCGCATTTGGCTTATGCGTCTTAGGGAGACCGTATAGCTCAGCAGTACCGAGTACCGCATGGGAAGGCACTTTTCAGAACCTTTTCGGGGACCTTCCCTGTCAAAGTACTCTTCACTAGCCTTTTGGTTTCAGCTTCTAGCTTAGGGGTGGGGTTCTCGTCGATCGCTTCATACTCGGCTGTAATGGTTTGGGCTTTTTCCACACTCTGTGTCATTGGTTTCGGCTGTGCGAGCTGAAGTGTCGTACTGAGCTACATCCGAACGCGGTTGATTGTTCTTTTTGTCGATGTGATCTTTCCACTGAAGGGCAAACGTCCCTTTCTCTAGCCCAATCTCTACCTCTTTCACAACGTGTTGTTAACTGATCGGGTTAGGACAAAATTTGGGCCTTTGCTAACCATGTCTACCAGGCAGTCTGGAAGTGCTTTGTTTGTGAGATTCAAAAACTTTTACGGTCGTGGAATGGATCGCTACTTAGCCCCTGTGGCATAAGGTGGGACTCGTCACTATCGTTCGCTTGATGTTCAGTTTCTCGAATAACATTCTCTCTTATACCCCATAATTCTCTTATACCCCATAAGCCCACAGGTGACAGCCAACGACTAGCTGGTAATACCTGCATGCGTCGGTCAAGAACCTGACAATATGCCCAGAGGTTTTGTTTGTTTGCTCGATTTTATTGAATGTTTTCGCATGTTTAGACATTCTACACGACAGTGTGGAATCGGTGCAAAAGATTTGTATATTATTAGGTAATAAGGTATTATTATTATATTATTATATAAATATATTATAATAACATATTATTGTACTATTAATATTCCATTAGTTTATTAGGTATTACGTAATATTGTTATTCAACCTGTTCAGTGCGCGACATGCGAAGCTCCTGCGAGATATAGGTACACTGTTTCATTCGTTCAATCGCGCGGTTGGGTTAATGAAATGTTTTTTTTTTCTCCGCTGATAAGATCGTTTTGTGCGATTCAGTCATTACGCATCCGTGCTCAATGTTTGTACCTGTCTTTCCTGGCGTGCCCCTCTGCAGCCAGCACACCCAGCATGGTTTCCAGGGCGGAGCGCACAGGGCTCTCCTCCGCGGGTCGCTGCTGTTCTTTCCGCTGGCGACTCTGCGCGGCCGCCCGGATGCCCTCCCACGCCTCCATCGCCGCTGCGTCCCGCTTCTCCTGCGCCTCTATGCGTTCGGCCAGAGTTTCATCGCGGCGCCGTTTCGTTATGCCGTCGGCCTCGTCGACTGGCCGGTCCTCGGTGGCAGATGGTGGGGTCACGGCTCTGGGTCTCTTGACTCCGGGCACGGTGACGCCGTCCCTCGCGGCCAGCCCCCGTATTCCAGGGACATCCTGTGCGAGCCCATCCCTAGACGGGAGACAGCGTTCTGCTCGCCCTGACGGCTCTTCATCTGTATCTTCGGGTGTCTGGGGCTGCACACTGTCAATTTTTGACATTACTTCAACATCGCCTAGGAGAGCATCCTGTGAAGTGAAATAAATGATCATAAGTTCAGGAGAAAAGTAATGATTACGGATCCCTTCGCAAACTTTGCATTGCGCACTTTGTTTCATTTTATATTTGGATTTGCGTTAAATGTACAAATTGAAAGAGAGAGAGAGAGAGAGAGAGAGAGAGAGAGAGAGAGAGAGAGAGAGAGAGAGAGAGAGAGAGAGAGAGAGAGAGAGAGAGAGAGAGAGAGAGAGAGAGAGAGAGAGAGAGAGAGAGAGAGAGAGAGAGAGAGAGAGAGAGAGAGAGAGAGAGAGAGAGAGAGAGAGAGAAAAAAGACAGACAGGAGAGATGGGACAGACCGGGTAGGTAGACAGGACAGATACAGTCAGGGAGGACGGAACAGAGAGACAGATGAACAACTCACCGGGAACGACGGACCTGCTGCCCGTACGGCGGCCCCACCCGCTGCGATCTGTGTCCTGCACGGAGGTCGGCTCGCTGCAGTCAGTGGCCTGAACGGGGGCCCGCTTCCGGCGCCGGCTCAAACCTCGCAGCTCGGCAGTCCGGGACCGTCTGGCGGCGAGATATCACTGCTATCGCCCCCCTCCCCCCCCCCCGCGTGGGAGGGGTCACGAACCCCGTGAACTGTATGAGGAGCCGTGTCACCGCCGTCCTATCGCCGCCGCCGCCGCCGCCTCTGATAAAAAGATGCAAGGAACGCGCTCGATAATGTTACGAGTGCCTGTCGTATTTACGCACTGATGTTAGAACTATTGCTAATCACCCGGACAAAGTTCAGAAATGACCAGCACTGTAAGCTTTGACATGCTTCAAAATTTCCAAATCAACTTATTATCATTGCTTATCTGATTATTTACTAGGCACTTAATTGTCGTAGAACATTCATAACGCTACAATCATCGTTCAGTGGCGGATCCAGGATTTTTCGAAGGGGGTGGGGGGCGGCGAGTCGAATAGCTCAGCCTTCGACAGCACAGGGGCGCCCTAATATTCAATGTGGTAAAAACAGCTTGTCACTAAGAAACGATTGCATTGAATCTAAGTGAATCCAATTTTACAATGGATTCAAACTATAATTACAACTTTTTATTAGGTGTCAGCTCTCTTGCCATGTATCAGGCTTGTCGATTGACAAAAAGCTTATCACGAATGTCGAATGCTACCAATACAGTACTAACCTGACCAGCATCTAACACGGATCCAATGCGCACCGCGGTCATCGCCGACAGGCACTGTTTTCGATTGCGCTGGGCAGTAAAATGTATTCACCTAAATCGCTGTAGTGACCTAAAATGTTGCAATAGTAGGCGTGACATTAGATTCAGTGGTTCCCACTACGCCTCCGTATCTAAGAATATTGATTGCGCTAATGTTAGCAGAGGGCTCCCAAACATTCGGATCATACACACTGCCCCCTCCCCCAGCTCCAAATAAAAAAATACTTGCATTCATAGCAGTGAACTAGTGAGATGTCAATCGGATACTAACTTCTTGGTATACCGATAACAAAGCGATACCAACTTGGTATTTGGCATTTCAATCCTAGTTTTTTGGTATTTTGTTGGTATTGCGAATCCTCGCTTATGTATAAGAGGCTGTTACTTTGGTAAAAAGTTGACATTTCCCTGGTATTCCCAAGCACAGGACTGCAGGCCATCGACGCCATTACGCGATCGGCGCTCACAGACATATGCAATGTCAGTATAGGAGACGAAGCTTGGACACAGGCTTCCCTCCCCATGCGGTACGGGGGTCTAGGCGTTAGATCAGTCGAACGTTTAGCTCTTCCCTGTCACTTAGCATCTCTGACTGAGGCATCCTCTCTCGTTTCGTCAATTCTTTGCAATCTATGAAACATGTATGATGTCACACTGGCCAGGAAACCTGCGCTTCACCGAATCCTCCCTCTTAGTCTAATCGGTGAGGCAACACTCCCCGACCCCTCTATGCCAGGACAGCAGAGGGCTTGGGACCACCTGGCATCGGAGGCTAGCTACAAACAGTTACTCCGCGAAACAAATCAAATCCACAGAGCTCGTTTACTTGCAGCCACCCAGCCTCACACAGCCGCATGGCTTCAAGCAGTACCGGTCCCCAGCCTCGGTCTTCTTTTGGACCCGGAATCCGTAAGAATAGCAGTGGCTCTCCGTCTTGGCGCCGCTATATGTGAGCCTCATGCCTGTCGCTTATGCAGCCGTCCGGTTGACAGGTTGGGTCATCACGCCTTATCCTGCAGCAAAAGTGCTGGTCGATTCCCCCGCCATGCCGAGCTGAACGATTTGGTGAAGCGCAGCCTCGCTGCATCTGGCATCCCGTCCGTTCTCGAGCCTACTGGCCTTGACAGAGGTGACGGCAAGCGTCCTGACGGGCTTACCACATTCCCTTTTAAAGGCGGAAAATGCCTGATCTGGGACGCGACATGCACGGATACTTTTGCTGAAAGCAGCCTGACAAAATCGGCAATAAAACCAGGATCAGCGGCCCGGGCCGCAGAGGATCGAAAGGTGCAGCGGTACGCCTCCTTATCATCCCAGTACCTTTTCGTTCCATTGGCGGTCGAAACATCAGGCGTTGTTGGCCCCAGTGCCATCAACCTAGTGCAGGAACTCGGCCGTAGGATCACAGCAGTAACCGGCGAGAGGCGCGAGACGGCCTGGTTATGGCAAAAATTTTCTATTGCCGTCATCCGCGGAAACGCGGTAGCAATAAGAGGCTCTGCTGATCATTCCTCCTCCATGAGCCCCGCCAACCAAACCTCACCACCACGTGCAGCTCCACATCATACACCGAAACAACAGACTTATCATGACTCTCGTAACACTCAGGCCCACTTCTCTCACACCCTCCCTCAGCCACGATCACCAGCTCAATCCAACCCAACAGCACCACCATCCCCAGCGCTTGAAACCCACGACTGCGACACACCATCAGCATCCCATTCTTTTGCCGGACACCAAGACATACCATCATCACCCTCAAAATCCATCAGCTCAATCTCTACTCGCCTTATAATGTATAGAAAGATATATGAGGAAATGAGGGCAAGTTTTGTGCTACAAGGTGTCGATCTGAGCCGCGACCCTCTGGCGGGGCGGACCCAGACCTTGCTCCATACCTCATGCGCGGTGTTACTCAGTAGGGTGTGTCATACTAAGGGTTTTTCTCTTTGATCTTGAGGAGACAGCGATTTTTTATGGCCCATGGTATTATGAAATTGATTTATCAGCACCCGAACACTTAGCATGCGTTAATTGAGTGCCGCGAACGATTTTTAGCGGATGGGCCCGAACCGACCTAATCTACCCCAGCGACATCTGTAATGACGATTTTTATTGGTGGCGCCACCTAGGACAACCGTATTTGATGTGACTGATAGTTGACGTACCTCAGTTTTCCTACGACGGACATACAAATAAAATTAGAAAACAATGTTTTTCTTTCCTAAAAATGAGTTCAGGGGACATTTAATTCTTTTTACGTACATTATCTACCATCCAATTAAAAATAATGTTGTTTTACGAGTGTTTTGTTTAATGCGACTGATAAATATCCTACTTTCTATTTAAATTACCTACCTTTAAACGAATTTATTGCGTTAGCAGAAGCACGCAATAAACAAATATTGGATACAATATTCGTTCTGTGTGAGGGATATATGGGGAAAAGGGTGCCGTTTTGCGTGTGTTATGGCATAAGTGCGACACAGCTGATCTCCGATGCCGAAAACCAGATCTAAAACAGAACATTATGTGTTGGGTCCCAGGTTGGGAGAGGGACCCTGAGACTGACAGAGGCCCTCAAGTCGATAGAGGACCTCCCCAGGTGGGGAAACACCCCCCCCCCCCGATTGATATAGGGCCCCTTGGACGAACAAAGAGCCCCTCAGGCTGACGGAATGCCCTCTCGGTCCAAAAAGGACCCCTCGCGCAAATAGCGGTTCCTTTACACTAACAGAGGACCCTTCAGATTTTAGTCAGAGAGCCCCCTCATGAGCTCACCTCATGACCTCAGAGGGCAGCTTTGAGCGTCCGACAACAAGCCTCGCTTCGTTGGGTGCCCTGGGAGCCCGGGCTACACATTGCTGCTGACGTACGCTGAATCTGACCTGAGTTTGATGATGACTTGGCTATGACTGTGAATTCCCCTCTAACTAACCTGCCCCAGTGGACTTGGACACTTTCCCCAAACGTGTATGAATGTTATGAATGTAATGGATGTGTGACTGTGCTGATAAATTGGGTGGGCTTTCAGTAGTGGGCAGTCACCACTGATTGCAGTGTTAACTACTTTGCTTCTTTTTCGTTCCCCTAGTTCGTATGGCTTTCTCCCTTCTGTTTTTTTATGTTACATTTCATTTCCTAGCAGAGTGCCGCGACTTGCAGTTTTATTTAATTAAGTTATTCTGGTGTTAACGTAAGGTTCTGTGTGTGGCGCTGGGAAAGAGGGAGGGGGCACTCCTGGTCACCTGATAACGGGTGGCGGCATAGAAAAAAAAAACTCCACGCGTTCAGAGCTAAGTAGCTAAGAGGGGCCCTTTCATGCACTCAGAGGGTTTTACTGTAGCTCAGAAGGCCCACGTCAATCAATCAGGATTCAGGGGTCCCTTCATGCGTTCAGAGGGCCCTATCGTCTAATCAGAGGGCCTTTCTGCAATTTAGAGGACTCCTGGCAATAAATCAGGGCCCCTTTATGCGCTCAGAGGGCTTTTCTGCAGTTCAAAGGGCCCCTGGCAAGCAATCAGGGTTTATGCGCTCAGGGGCTTTTCTGTTGCTCAGAGAGCCCCCGTCAAGCGATCAGCGGTCCCTTCGTGCGTTCAGAGGGCCTTTCTGTAGTTCAGAGGGCCCCTGTCAAGCGATCAGGGGGCCCTTAATGCAACCAGAGGGTTTTTTCTCTAGCTCAGAGGGCACCCGTCAAGCTATCAGGGGCCTCTTCACTAGCTCTGAAGAGGGTCCCTCGGACGTCAACCAAACTATAAGAAATTAATATTAAATAAAAATTGAAAAGAGGCCGATCAAAAATAAAGTGGGTGAAGTCCGCCCTAAAAAAATTGGGTAGGGTATACGTAGGTAAAGCCCCCATACCTACATGTGGGGTCCCGATTTGAAACAGCCCAACCCGGAACTTTTGAAACTTCGAAGGGTCCTGCCGTCCACCACACGCGTCTTACACTGTTGTATCGCTTCTAGCAACAAGCAAATCAGCATCCTGTCAGAATCGTTCGTGTGCGACTGCATTACCTAATGCCTGGTCGACTATGGCGCCACCTATGTAACTAAAGCCTTCGGAACGGCCGCTACTGTATAAGCTGGGGTCGCTAGTATCGCCAGAAAGGGACCAAGTCGGCGAACAATTTTGCCTCGCGGGACTCAGTTTTTCATTTTTGACTGGTATTTTTCGAGGCAATCGTCTTGCCATGCTATTGGGCCATAAAATATAACTGTCTCCACTTGATTCTTTGTGGTCGACACACCCTATTACTCAGTGTCCTGATTTATCGTGTCTAGCTCAGCCTTAGCTGTAGTTATATGTGCATATCTGTATGCCTATTTGAGG